CATTGTGAGTTGCTGACCTATCGAACCATTCTAACAACATAATAAATAAAATAAAAAGAATAATGATAAAAACAAATGAATAGTTTTATTTCGGTGTATTCTATCTATTCTTCCTTCAACTGTGACATAAGAATATAGAAATTATTTTACGTTCGAATTTACTCCACCAATTGGGGTTAATATTTTGCAATTCCTACGTTTTTCCACAGCTGGAAAATTATGTTCAAAACCGTTGGTTAAACAGCAGCGACACAATATTACTGTTACGATTGGTTTTGGCTCGAATCGATTAAGTCATTATACATTGTTATTAATCCGCAATACGCATTATTACGCAGTATCTATTAGATTACAGAGTAATCCAAATGTTCTCCGTTGCGTAAGTCAATCAATTCCTATTATCTATCGAGAATGCTGCGCTTGCATAATACTGAACAATGTAACTGTAATAGGTATATCGATCCACTTAATACGCACGCATAGACTTTTTGTCGAAGAACATTGGATTATTTTTTTCTATGTTATATATATTTTAACATTAAATGTTTAACATTTAATAAAAATACAATACAAAAATTCTATTCTCTTTCCTGGAAAATATTAACATATATTGTTAAATTTTATAGTTATAATTAACGTTAAAGTATCAATGGCGCAACAATAGACTTCTCTTAATAACAAATAACAATATATAAATAAGCTAATAAGACGTTGATAAGATAAAATATTCATTGGCAAGCAATTGGAAATATAAAAATCTAATTATATAGTTAGTTCCATTTAATTATATATGAGAGTAAAAAAATGTGCGGCTCTCAATCTCCGCGATGAGTAATCGTGGTTCTGTCTCGGCAGTGAAATCAAAGGCAAAACCCGGAAGCGGGTCTTGTGAAATCGAACAAAATAAAGCACAGAGGTAGTGACGCATCGCGGATGAAAGGGAGCAGCATTGTCAATGATAAAAATAGTTGACATGTGCGTCCAATGCGAGAGACGAAGCATTCGATTTGCGTTCGATTTGAGACCACGGCACATGAACATTGCGCAAACCTCGCGATGTCATTCTCGACGAGGAAGCGCGCAGGAAGCGAGCCTAGTCATTGTAAAATGGCGCTTTACAGCATTCCCTGGAATCACCGTGGAAACCTCAAATTGTAAATCGCACGAGTGGCCGGCAGTATGTCGAGCGCACTTGTAAAGAGTTATTATAGATTTTCCGCGACCGTTTGCCGTTTCTGCGATAATAGGCTGACAAAATTGCGCGGTCACGGCATAAGGGACCTAGGTGATATTCGTCACCAGAGCACCTCGCGTTTCTCAAAGTCACTGCGTCAGTTGTCCAATCTTGATTGATATATTTTATGAGAAAAGCAAACGTTCCGTCGAATCATACATATGCGCGTAAGAAAATGCAAGATCACATCTGCTGCGAGGCGCTACGATGACAAAAATGGAAGAAGATAAAGCAGCCGCGATGTGAATGGTACGAAAAATCGGTGACCATAACGAGACCATTACAAAATTCTTCACCGGGGAACTAACATGTTATTAAGAAGCTACCAGGTATAACTTATGCCTGCCTCCATCTATAACTCGAGAGTTCATATTGTATCCGAGAGCCTTTACGAGATGTGCCTCAACGGTAATGGACCACCTTTTGTACGAGACGCTCTATTGATGTTGAGAGAAAATCCGTAACGTTTGCGCAATGCGACAGTTGACTCGTTCCCTCTTCGTCTATCTCCTTTTTTTTTCTCTTTCCGCCGAAAATATCTTTTCGGCCGCGTCGATCGCGCAGGAGACGCGGGAATCCGAGACAAATCCTTACGCGGATTCACCTGGCGGCTTCACGGATAGTGAACTTGCCTGGGAGATCATTGGAAACTCGTCAAATTCGGACGTAGCTTTGTGAATCAGCGGTACGAAGGACTTTCGGCTTTTGTCCGCGGGACGCAGCGGGTCGACACGAATTATGATTTTCCATTGTGAAGTCGAGAGGAACTAACGGAGGGATGGCAGTTGTCATACGCGGGTCCTCGAAGTTTCTCGCTCGAATCGGTTTGGCGACAATGCGAGATAATCCAGCTGCCATGCCGGTGTATACTAGCACCTAGCAGAGCACGCAGCATTAACGATACAATAGAAGCTATATCACGTTGTTAACGCTCACGTTTCTATTATTTTCTAGTACTCACGGAGTCCTTCGTTTCTAAACGCTCGTGGTGCAGATGAATGCCGGCTAGAATAATGACGGGGTCGTATATCGTCGCTAAAATATCAATGCTGTGTAGACACTCCATCGGTAAGGAGCCAACGAGCGAAGCAGCGAGGCATCTCGCGCTACAAGCAGCTATATGAAGCCAAGGAATGCGTTCGTCCGATCCCACGGCTTATCCCCCTTCACTCTCCCTTCCCTCGTTAGCTCTTTTTCTTTCTGGTACGCGATAGTAGTATTACCGGGCTTAGTCTCTCTCTCTTTCTCTCTCTCTCTCTCTCTCTCTCTCTTTCTCTCCCCCCTCCCTCCCTCTATCTCTCTCTTTCTCTCATATTCTCTCAGACTATAGTATGCAATCTACCGACTCGATGGCTCTCTTTTAACAAATCTTGGAATGTAAATTTCAAACCTGGGCCATTTTCTTTCAATTCTTAAAGAAACAGATAAATACGTTCACTAATGAATTAGGCAACTCTGATCGATGAACGTAGGTGTTAGAAAGTTGAACGACTGGAAGTTAGAGAGCAATTACCATTTGAGAAATTTAACTAATTCTTGGTTGAACTACATCTCTCTCTCTCTCTCTCTCTCTCTCTCTCTCTCTTTCCGTCTCTCCCTCCCTCTCCAATATTTTACCTTTGCATCGGACATGGTATTTTCGCATTGAAAAGATATCGAATAATTTAAAGAGCTATGCGACTACTAAATGTTGATGACCATATTTTATAATCTAGAAGACCGTTTCGCTTCTTTTCCTTTTTTTTAACCGCTGCATCGACCACGTCTCCGAGGTCATGTTGCGGTACCGCGACCTAATCGCGATCCGTTAATATCGCAAGAGGTAAAGTCTACGCCATGAAGCCAGGGCGATATCTAGATCGTCTTATTATGCATATCGGTTGGAACTGGTATTTGCAATCGTTTAGAAGCGGAAATTATCCCACCAGATGCATGAAAACGAATTATTCAAACTTCTATTACTCAAAGAGAAAACGAATAAATGGAGCGGGCACGAACGTTGGATGAATTTCAAATTAGCATGATCTGGTTTCAGATAGAACTCACTTTGAGCTTTTGAGTGTGACCACATCGGCAACAGCAATACGACATGTAGTCAGGTAGCGCGGGCATAAACTTCAATTGTTCCTGCTGCGAATATTCGTCCACAAGTTTGCGATAATGCACCCTGAAAATGGGCCTCGTTGCGCTCTGCGAGCCTTTACCAAGGCGTCCCATAATCGCAAAGAATGCGGCCAGGATATTGCGTCTGCGTGCAAGCCTCCTCATGCCACAGTGACCGTTGTACTTTGCACGTTGTCCTTTCCAAATCGCACCTTCTGGCTTAACTTTTACGCCCTTCACTTTTACGGAAGAAGATTTTTTTCCCCAAACACTGACCGCACGGTAGTGTTGCACAAGAGGCAATCGGCTTTTATCCAGATTTAATAACAACTCGACATTGTTGTCACATCCAGGAAGGACCGTATCGTCACACAGCTCACACCAGTTATTCGCATTTCTAACGTCAACATTCCATACATTTCCGATCACACATTCACGACACTATGCGGCGCACTTTCTAATGTACGAGGCACCGGCACGTCGGCGCGCTAAAATGTATGCCGCATCCAGCACCTTTCTCCGAAGGTATCCCTTCGACGATACCGACACCTATCGCGAAGTCAAGCGCCTATTGAAATTATCGAGTTTCAATATCTATATTTCGTAGCAGCACGTGGATGAGCACCACTCGATTCTCGGACAGCTAACACGACTGGAGACGCCGGTATCCGTTTGATAACGGAAATACAGTGGTACCGAAGGTACCTCCATTGCGCAGAGCTGTCGAGAGTCCGTTGTCGGCATGAAACTGGCTTCTTCCGCTGCGGCAGCAGATGATATCCCGTGTCGCCCGTGAGGAGGTGTGATATTATTAGCAAGTGAAGATGATTTTGATGTCGTCAAACCCCGTGGGATTCCAATCCTACGTGCGACACACGCACGGAGGATCCAAGAGCCACTCTTGATGGCGTGCGTGGCCCCGGCTACGTGTCGCTCTGCATGCCGACCCGCGGAAACCGGTTAACGAGTACCGCGTCGCTTCTCGCTTCTTACTTGTCGTCTGTCAACCGCACACGCAGTCGTTACGTCCTTCTACATTTTCCGATGGACTTGCTGCGAGAGGACGACATCGACCTCTGTTACCGACGTATCGCGATCGTACCCGACATATTCTGCACGTACGACTCCCTCCTAATTGTTCCTACCTCCGGAGTCTGGAATCGTGACGCCGATGGAAAAGCTACGATTGAGCAATCGTTAGAAAGTTTCCAGATGGAATTTTGCTTCTTTTGTTAATCCTTGCCGATACTCAATACGGTAAATCATGCGTATCCCTTCCCTCTTTTCTTTCGAACTTCTCATTTATATGTATATTCCTGTAGAAATCGGGCCAGTGAAACAACTGCACTGTATCCATAAATAATAGAAAATTCTATACGCAAATTCGATATCACGGTCCTTCACTACTTCGTCGATCTATTAAGTCGAGCCAGCGTCATTGCGGAAGTGGAAACTCACGCAAGCGGGGAGCAGTGAGTCATCCGCTAGGTTTGGACCATTCAAAGAGGCACGAGGCCCGGTTCACGCGCGTTCCTTCTGGTGTGTCAACCGGATGAAATACCACCACGGGTGAACCTTCCAGCGAGTTCCTCGTTCGGTTCTCCTCTTGTCCTTTTCGTTATACGTTAGCTGGTCCCGGTATCGTCGTCGCTGCTGCTTTTCGCAAGGTGGGAGCTCGCAAAGCCGCAAACTGTGGATACCGCCGTGCTTAACCCGGCCCGGCGATGGCGATATCTCCCGGTACGTATAGAGAAAGACTGAAGTCCACGAGGAACACGAAGCGAGAGCACCGCTCTGGCCGGCCCACACGGTTCCATCCCCACCGCGATTTGCGAGAAGCCGAGCGGTGCGACCGACCGACCGACCGCTTTCTTGCTTCAACCGCGGCATTGAACACGTTCAACGGCAGCTGTTGAATACCACGTGTCCCCGTTCTCCCTCTCGCCCTCGCTGTCCCTCGTTCTCTCTCTCTCTCTCTCTCTCTCTCTCTCTCTCTCTCTCTCTCTCCCTCCCTCTTTCTTTATTTCTCTCTGAGTCTGCCGGTCAGTCTTTCCCGCTCTGCCTGTCGCCTCTCTCTGTCCCTCTCATGATCTTTTCCTATGGCTTCTTACTCTTTTTACCCTGCCACGACCGAGAACGCCACTCGACAGAGAGCCAGCGCCGTACGAAGCGCATGAGTTTGCGATTCGCGTTCTTTGACCTGCCGTCAGCGCGACGAGCCGCTCGATCGCAGACTTCGGTTCTGACTCGAAGCTCGCGTCATGTCCGGTGAAGTACTTAGGAGTAAATACCTGTATTTTTCACACCTAAATACGTTTTCGCGTACTCTGTATCTCTTCCTAGATATTTCTTACAAACGAGCACCCATACCTGGAATGCTCCTTTGGAATGTCTGTACCTGCCGCAGGTACCTGTATCTACTTAACGTACATTTTAAAGCGTTCTTCAAGGTCAGTTAAAGGAACGAATTGCGGAATTTCGAATTAGTCAGAACTTTCACACAAAGTCGTTAGATTACAGAACGACAGTTAGGATTACAGCCAGTTGTGTGTGTGTGTGTGTATTGGATCTAGTCTTTTGAAACAATAAAGAAAATATAAAAAGAGTTCGTACACACGGATATTCCTTTTCTTACATTCCTTTAAAAAGATCATTTCAAACTTTTATATCCCCTTCGATGTGGATCATATGTTGACAAATCACCTGGCAGAGAGCGTAGAAATTGGTTGGAAACTGAAAAATGTGCTGTCAACCGCTTCAATGAACGCAGAAACCTTCCGAGTTCCTCATTTTCCGCCAATTCTCGCAATCTCCTCGACTGTGCTATCAGAGTAAGCATACTTGATCCGAAACCTTCAAGAACGATGACGTTCTTAATTCGGCGGAAGGTATTTAAAGTTTAATCCGAAGAGTGCGCCATTAGGGTTGACTAAATGTCAAGGCAATGGCAGAGTGCAAAGTTCCAAGTGCAAAGTCTACTATTCTCAACTCACTAAAGCTCCGCCAACTTACGGCTCTATCCTTTCTGATATCGTCGACGGACCTCGAAGCCTCGGGCGATGTTATCTTCCAGACAACAGAAAGAGGCTTTTAGATCCTGGGATTCGGTAGTTGTCAGTGTATTGACGTTCGAGACGATATTTCCCCGTGTATTTGCTGGCCTTAGTACCAAAGCACGTTCCTCCTGCTTTACACCCAGTTGTTATGACTTTCGATAAATGTGATACACTGGTGAAATTTGTCATCGTATTAATAAGTTAAAGCGAAGATGAAATACATTGCTCCCAATGCATGAATTCGCACACAAATCAATCGTATTGGAATATTACAAATATTATTAATTATTGTGTTGCAAATATAAATTTATTTTATTTTACGAGAATTAGAGCAACGAATACAGTAGTGATTCATTAATTCATGTAGAAAGAATTCTCGACACTTTTTAAGCTTTCACGGATATTATCTTCAAAGATACAAGAAGATTTGTGGGTTATCGCCGTATTTTTATCCGTTGCTAATGCCAACATTTCGTGAACCTTACCGCTTCACTTCATCAAGGCGAGGAGCGCACTGAGTTACAATTAAGACAAGAATCTGGTTGTGTATTTTGTAATTTCAATTTAAATTTTGTCTATTAAGCGTGCGGCTTGGCTTTAAATGCTGGCAGAGTTGTCAAGAGTAAAGGGAGCGATCCATCAGCTTTAAACGACGCGACTGTTTCCAGTTTCCACTTGAGACGCACGCGGTTGTCCACTGGGAAGGGCCGAACTGTCACGTACAATATCTTGAACGAAAATCCCAGTTTAATTTCGACGATTTATATTAACTCAATTATTTAAGAATTTACTTTGCGAACGTCAGTAAAATATTCAAAAAATATTTCAAACACTGTACGTTCCTATTCGTTTTATATACGTCTGCATTAACGTATATTTTTCGTCATTTAGGCATTTTTTAATTGTTCTAACCATTTATTATTAGCAATTAAAAATCTATCTCTTTTTATGGAAACTTCAGTATGTGACCTACATAATTAACACGTCTCTCAGATATTCCAATCTTCCTCAGAGACAGGAATATGCCGCGAAAGAAGGAAATATTAAAGAGAAAGTTCGCATTTTACTGACCTGTTCTGCAGACTCGGTGATAAAAGAATGACAATATTGCAGGCTGAAGTGGGCCCCGGGCTCTCGCGCCAGAAAGCTGAATTGGGCGTGCTGCGGCTCACAAGTCGCGTAAAAGATGCGTCTTAACGCGTGCGCCATTTGCACGCACTGCAACAGAAATATAAAAAAAAACAATCTTGAGAGACTGCTCACGAAAACGTTTTGGTATAGGCACAAAAATAATAGTAATAATAAATACTAAGATATACTTGAGAGAGAGAGAGAGAGAGAGAGAGAGAATGCACTTTGAAAATACCAAATTTCTTATTTTTTAAAAGAAAATATATTATTTCCTGCACATTTTAGAACTAAAGATAAGTAATAACTGTTTAATTCTTTTCTGTTGAATAATATATAATAATTACTTTTAAATTACTTTTAAAATAAATAATAATTACTTATTGATATAACTACTACTTAATAAAATGCACTTAATAAAACTACAATATTTGATTTATGATATTTAAATTCATTTTATGCAACGCAGTGAAAAATAATTCAAATTGTCTCTGACTGACAATTTCCGAGATATTTTCGAGAGTGAGCCTTGTGTTGAATGCAAACAAAAATGATTTATGAGCGTTTTATCATTGCTCTTATCCTGTGGAGTGATTTAATCGTTTAAATCAATTCCGCTGTGAAATGTTGCGTACATATTAAGACCCGTGCAAGAAACTAGCGTCCTCATTAAACAGGATATCGTCATAAATATCACTTATTATATATGGCTTGTTAGCCACCGCAGAGAATATCGCGTGAGCCAAAATTGAGGGGTGTAAAATGAGATAATTAAATGATACGAATAGAAGTGTAACACCGGTAGAAAAATAAGTAGGCACAAGACGATATCAATTAAAGTATTAGTTCTACTTTAGCACAATTAAATAAAATATACCTATACATGAATTTCTGGCTTTTTCTTTCTATATTTTTTTTTACGTGCTTTTACGTGCACCAAAGTAGCGCTTCATAATTGCATAATATTGCCACGTTGGATGATTCGATCAAGTAATGAGAATTAAGAGAAAGAAATTGTGTCCAATTATTGGTCACTTGAAAAACTTGCGAGGTTTTTGCTTAAATTTATGTTCCGAAACTTTTAATGATTTATTAAAACTTCATTCGTGAGATGCTTATAAGTTTCAATAAAAAATCATAAATTTTATCGTTGATTTTATAAATCGACTTCGATCATAATTTCACAAGTAATGTTTCTAGACTAATCTATGTAGGAACTTTAAAAAATTCTTGTTTTTCAAAATTGTAAAGAAAATTTTCATCAAAAAATAGATTCTAATTTAAATACATCGTCATACGTATAGATTTTCTTCAATAATAAGATAGTAGTTCATGTGAAGCAGAGTGTATTTTCGCCTCAATTCGCGCCGAATTTGAACACCGTTCTCATTCTGGGACGTAAATTTTTAATGTTGTCTATAAATTTGGCAACCAATACAAAATAAAATTCGTGAGCAAAATCTTCGTATCTTCGTCTCCGAAAGAGTTTTCTGTGAAATTTCGCCAATATTTTAGCCAAGAATTTTATATCCTCGCAATGACACTTCGTGAACTTTTGGTATTTTATTACCTAGTCCCGTAGAATTACATCGAGCATGTTTACAGTTTTCGCTCGCACGTTCTATTAATATTTATATGTCCATTGTATCGCGGCACCACGCTCTTGTGCATACTACATAAACGCAGTACTGATTGTAAAGCTTGTAAAGATTGTAGTTGCTTTAGCATGTATAAAAGCCTTTCTATGTGCAAAAGAGGCTATGCATTTCTATACAACAGCAATTTTTTGGTGATTGAGTTATTTTTACGATTTATATAAAAAATTTATTTGAAAAATGATATCAAATGTTTTCTCTCTTAGCTCACATTTTTACTGAAACCCACATTCTTGCTATTGTTGGTCTTTAAAATTTAAAACTCCTATTCGCAAAGCGCTTTTGGCTTAAGCCATTATTGCACTTCAATTCTCAATCTTAAAGAGAAACACGATTTCATCCTCAAACTTCCAAGATAGGATACTTGTTTAAATTCATTCTCACGCAGTGGTAAGCATGGCAGAGCATGCGGACGAGTAGAATGGTGATTGAAAAGATGATCGTACTGTAGGAGCAAATTTTCTGCCAAGGATACTCCGCGATTCTATCAAGTTTCGTGCTGAATTTTTCATGGTGCCTGCATTTGCTCCAAGTAGCAAAGTTCTACGTGAGAAAGATATAAATGACTCGACTCAGTGAAAAAGCTGCTTGCTATACTTATGCTTCTTGGATGGACATTATTTGAACACAGCCCTCTTACGGCTATTGTTAAATTGCGCTCAACGAGTAGAGAAACTCTTTTAATTATTGCGCGAATAACAATCGTGCTTAGAATAAATATAACAACAAGAATTTCGATAATATTAACAATCACGTTCTCATTACGAAGCACTTAATGGAAAATTATATTTTTGAACAAAATAATGACTGTAATGCAATAATCGTAGACGTGAACGCTTTAAACGTTAAAATCGCATATATATTTGACTAATCGGCTATTGATCTAATCAGTTTAT